AATTTAGATTCTAATTGCTACTAGGCAATTTATAGGAAACAAGTATATGGTTCAGTTTGTTGATTATATGTAAACCCAACAAATGAATTCTAAATTATATATTGAAGGCATAATTATCAGTTTTCCATAAGTTTTTGTGGCAGGTTGATTGGGTAGGAAGAATGATGAATGCCACCTTGCAACAGGATAGGATCCCAGCATGCTTAAAAGAGGTAATAGTAAGGCCATTGTTGCAAAAGCCCTCTTTGGATCCCACAATACTGAATCATTACAGACCAATCTCTAATCTGTTCTTGAGCAAGGTGCTGGAGAGGATTGTGGCTTCTCAGCTCCAGGGATTCCTGCATGAGATGAATTACGTATCTAGATCCATTTCAATCTGGCTTCAGGCTTGATTATGGGACAGAGACTGCTCTAGTTATCATGATGGATGATCTATGCCAGGAACTGGACAAGGGGAGTGGTTCTGCTGAACCTCTCCATAGCTTTTGATATCACAGACCATGGTGTCCTTCTGGCCCATTTCTCTGAGATGGGACTTGGAGGCACTGTTTCATGGTGACTCCAGTCCTTTCTGGAGGAGAGAACTCAGGTGATGCTGGGGGACTCCAGTTCAACACCCTGGATGGTGGTCTGTGGAGTCCCTCAGGGTTCTGTACTGTCTCCATTGTTATCTAACATCTACATGAAACCTATGGGAAAGGTTGTCTGGAATTTTGGGGTTGGTGTCACCATGACACCCAACCATGTCTCTACATGCCATCTAAATCTGAGGGAGCTGTTTGGGCTCTAAATCAGTGTCTAGTATCAATAATGGACTGGATGAGAGCAAATCCTGTAATCTTAAACTTAATCCAGGCAAAACTGAAGTTCTCCTGGTCAGTCAAAAGGCAGATCAAGGAACAGGGTTACACACTGTGCAGGATGGGGTTACATTCCCTCTGAAAACATAGGTGTGCAGCTGTAGATGCTCCTGGATCTGTCTCTGAGCCTAGATGCCCAGGTTTCAGTGGTGGTCAGGAGTGTCTTTGCACAAAATAAAACTAGTGTGCCAGCTGCGCCTGTTCTTGGAGTTCTGATCTGGCCGTGGTGACACATGCCTTGGTTACATCCCTACTGGACTACAGTAACACAGTCTACGTGGGGCTGCCTTCTGAAGTGTTTGGAAACTTTAGCAGGTCTAAAATGCAGCAGCCAGACTGCTGACTGGTCACAGGGATCACATAACACCCCACCCCTTTATAGCAACTCCACTGACTAAGAATCCAGTTTTGGGCACAATGCTGGGTTAACTTATAAAGCCCTAAACAGCTTGGATCCAAGCTATCTCAAAGACCACCTCTCCCTTTATGAGCCTGCTTAGGTGTTAAGATAATCAGGAGAGGCCTTTCTCTCGATCCCTCAGACTTCACAGGTTTGTTCAGTGGGGACACAGGGGAAGGGGAGGGGCAAATGACTCAAGCCTTGAACTTCAGGCATAGGACTCGGGATTCAGACCCAAGGGCCTGGACTCAGAACCTGGACCTGAAGACTTTCCAACATCCCTGGAAAACAGTTCAAGAGAAATGTGTGATCCTGAGAATTAGAATGCTGAGGCACAGGCTCAACTGAAGAATGTCTCCTTCCATGAGAAGGAAAAGCTAAGGATATGTAAAGAAGAAAATGTGCTGTTTACGTGATGAGCTGAGATTCAAAAAGTATATGTACAGGAGATAGAATAAGTGGCATATAACCAAATAGGAGTACATTAAAGAGGCCCATATGTATAAGAATGGTGTTAGGAAGATGAAGGGCTTATGAGGGATCCTAAAAACTAGAGGTAAAACTAAAAACTATAAATCAGTTCCAACTTGACAGCCTGTAATAACAAGCTAAAAAAAATAAAAATAAATTCTTGGGCTTCAATCCAATTGTTCATCCAACTGAAAAGTACACCAGCAAAATCAATGAGATTTATGTAAGTGCTGACTCACCATTCAGCAGCTGACTGATGGAAGATTCAAAAGTATCAACACAGGATGGAACCCTTGACTCACATTAACAAGATGGCATTCAATACAGACAAATGTAAAGTCTTGTGTTGAGATTCAGTGTGACAGTTCATACTGGCCCAGGATCCAGTTTTTCCCTCTTAGTGCTTCAGGGGGATGCATCACATTACAAGATCACTAAATAGGCAATGCAGCAGCTTTAAAACTACGTAGTTGTAAAACCTCCTGCATGTGTGGACTTAAATTGGAAGTCCCTTCCAATATATTTTTTCTCTCTCCCACTAGTACATAACTTCCATTGCAGAAAACTGGACTATATGACCTCTAAGGTACTTTACAAATCCAGCTGTAACATCATTGTTTATGAATTACAGCTAAACATACAACCTAATTCAAGGTCAAACCTTAATTTGTTATCAGTACCAAAATATCATGACTCTCATCAAATCCAAAAGGAAAGCATAAGCACGCTGAAAATTAACACTGTGAACTTGCAAAGCATCTGGAAAGAGTGATGGGGAAGACACTAGTAATTTTTACTCTCATTGTTTTAAAGCCAAGGTGAGAAGACCTCCGACTTGACAACTTCAGAAATGGTTTTGAATAGCAAAACTGATCTGACCTCACAGTCCTTCCACATAAAAATAAAGTTCCCTTTATCCCTAGCATCGTTATTTCAGCAATTTAATATAGGATGGGTGATGCATTTTCTTCCGAGTCTAAAGCAAACCATGTGGATATAGCTTCTGCATACTTTTCTAGCTTTTTATTTATTTACATCAACATTCTCTCCTTCCACTCACAACATACTTAGCAACAAGTAATATAAACCAGCTAAGTAAAAATCAGATCAATAAAAAGACCAGTTAAAAACAGCAGCAGCAGCAACTTCAAACTTTGACTGGAGGAAATACATATATGCTTTGCACTCGGATATACCTGCTTAGAGACACAATTTTAAGTCAGAATTGGCTCTGAACCAGGGAACTGCAACCTAGGATAGTGGCTCAACTAATCATGCCACTCATTTTATGAATCTGGATGAAATCTGGCTTCTGAACTGCACCATGTCATCTCTTAAAGACTTTCTCTTAACAGAGTCCAATAAAACAATGCAAATCAGTGGGTACGATAATAAGTTGTTCTTCCTTATATCTTAATAACTTCCATTTCTTAATAGAATGAGATTATGTGAGGGAAAATGTCTGCAATTAAGCTATAATACCTGAGACCTGTACCTATCCTTTTAAATTATCCTTTGGCAAAATTTGGGGTAAGAATCAAGAAACAATAGTACAACTCAATCACAAATCATGATTGAGGTTCACTTCAGAAATATCAAGTGGAATGAGGGGGCTGAGTATTCATGGTGGGTTACATTTTATGGGACTGGAATGGGAAAGGGGAATCGTAAAAATTAGAAACCTTAGGCAAGCAGAGCAAAATTCAACCTTCCAACTTAGAACAGTCCTCCCACCTCCAACTGCAGGAAGATAAGACATTAGCATAGGCATCCTTCAGTCTCGATAGACTATGGTAACATGCTCTGAATTGAGGAGTGTCCTCTCCAGAGCATGAAGCCCAGGTAAGGTAATATGGAGGATAGGCTGTTACCCAAGCAGCAGATCCCCCCTCTCCACATTGCTGAAATGGTCCAATGGAAAGGCAAGAGCCAATACAACTGGTTCCAGCAATGTCGCAGGAGTTGGCAGAACGACACATGCTGCACTTCAGAAATATCAAGTGGAATGAGGGGGAGCATTCATGGTGGGTTACATTTTATAGGACTGGAATGGGAAAGGGGAATCACAAAAATTAGAAACCTTAGGCAAGCAGAGCAAAATTCAACCTTCCAACTTAGAACAGTCCTCCCACCTCCAACTGCAGGAAGATAAGACATAGCTCCTGATGTTCAGCTATTCCAGTGACCCTTTTTCCCCAAACCACCCCCCCCCCAAGGAAAATGGATGGTTCCTCCACAAAAATGAAACATGTATTTTGGAAGTTGCCTTCCGCTTGCACAAACTGAGAGGAATATTCTTCCTTATGTGCGTAAGTTCCATGATTTAAAAAAAGACTCAACATAAAATGTACTAAGAAATACACTTCCGATATGGATGTCAAAGGTAACTGGAGTTAGTTTAAGAAAGAAAGAGTCTTTTCCTCATAGCAAAAAGAGGAAAAATGAGCCCAAGGATTGCTTTAGTTTCTTCACATAGCAGGAAATATTAATTTCTTTGAAATCTGAACTGACACAAATCTCTGAAATATTGCCATATAATGTTCTTGAAAGAAGCCAACTATAGTCTGGAAGAAGGTTTAAAACTATAAAATAGTATGTTGTCCTATAATATTAATGATTACATGCAGGCAAGTCAATTCTGACTTACCAAGATCATTTCCATGGTTTTCTAGGTAGAGAATACTCAGAAGTGGTTTTACCCATCCCTTCCACTGGGGGCATCCTGGGGCTGTGCAGTTTGCCCAAGGCCACATAGGCTGGCTCTTCTTTTGGGATGCACAGTGGTGAATCAAACTCTCAACCCTCTGGCTGTGCAGTCGGATGCCTCACTCACTGAGCTATCAAGTCATCATGCTCTCCTACAAATCATGGAAAAATATTCTAATTCCACATCTCAAATACAGGAATTAAAAACAATAAAAATATCAGCATCATCATAATCTTAGAACTGCAGGGCTGGATGTGGTCCTATGGATCACCAAATCCACCCCTTTCAAGGAGGCACAGTGGAGAAGCAAACTCCCAACCTCTGGATCTGCAGCCAGATATCTAAACCACTGAGCTATCCATCAGTGGATACAAATCAGAGCCAGCCTAACAGGCTACTAATTTTCCTAACAGAACTTGCACACAAATGACATGCAGTGTGTCTCCAAAAGCTAAATATTTTTTAATTATTCCACTTTCTCTTTCCCTTTTATTTGTCACAATATGCACAATGTTCTCAGAATACTGACTGATCTTTGCCACCAAGTTACACTTCTTACCAGTACATGAGTAGTCATCAATCCTGATGTAACCTGCTTTGCAGATACACATGAACGATCCTGGAGTGTTTACACATACAGTATTCTCCCGGCAATAATGCTTCCCTTCAGCAGATTCATCAATATCTGCAGAAAAAGCAGACAAAGCCTGGTGAACAATCACTGCTAGGTTCCCTACAGTTTACACAGATTGGAAACTAGTCCACATACTAGAGCATTTGTCTTTGCCTTATTTGTTGGGCATAAGATCACAGCTGTGATGCTGTGGATATCGATTTATAGAAGCGGGCTAGTTTTTAAAATTTAAGAAAAAAGGAATCTTTTATATCTTTGGTAAGAAAAACATCCTTAAACATGTACAATCAATACAAATAATAATTATTATGTTGTTGCTGATGATGATGATTATAATATGACCATTTATAATTCCTGCCATGATAGTTGTTATTTTTGTATTTGTCCTAATAAGTTTCTTCTTTTTTAACTAGACCCATACCTCTTTTATATAAATTTAACTGGTAGGTTAATCTACAGAAGCTTCAGAACTGATAAAGGTCCAGTTGATGCACCTGGAAGAAACTGAAGTTATTTTTAATTGCATGAATGACATTTAAGAGGTTCCTTTTTTTCCCTTTTGACTCTATTTTGATACTTTTGAGTCATTGTAATAAAAGATGAGAAAAATTTAAGTATTAAAAATTGCCTTCTATCCTAACAATGAATAGGAGCTGCTCCTGAATAAGCAGCATTCCATCTGATGTAACAAATCACAAGTCTTTTCTTTATGTCATAGCCAGCATGGGCAGTTTCTCGGTTTCCAGCTTTTTTTCCCTTTTGACTCTATTTTGATACTTTTGAGTCATTGTAATAAAAGATGAGAAAAATTTAAGTATTAAAAATTGCCTTCTATCCTAACAATGAATAGGAGCTGCTCCTGAATAAGCAGCATTCCATCTGATGTAACAAATCACAAGTCTTTTCTTTATGTCATAGCCAGCATGGGCAGTTTCTCGGTTTCCAGTCTCAACCCCCCCCTTTGCCCCCCCCCCCAAACAGTATTTCCATTTCCATGTCTAACCACTTCTGGGATCTGTTTAATGAGGAATCTTTCCCAACCATGAGAAAGACCCACTACATTTTCTCCTTTCTTAGGTGCTCATCTGCTCTTTCCCGATAATGTTATCCAGCCTGGTGACATAAAACATACTTTCCATTCTATTGACTAAAAAAAACCTCACAAAACTACTGTATCTCACTTTTCTTGTTCTCTGAGGCAGTCTCTGATCACTTGAAGTGACCTTAACATAAACTTAACCTGATACATATCTTGCTACTTCTACTCTCACGTTATCTTCACTTGCTGACCTTTTCTTAAAAAAAAAAAAACATACCCCTGAAGCAGAGTCATGTTCAGTCAGAGACAGATGGTTCTTTTGAACTCCAGCTACTGTTTCTAGGTAGCTGTCTTTCAGCTTGATGCAGCATAAACAGCACAAGGCTGGAACTGTAGAAGCTGTGCCCCCTCTGCAGTTACCCTGAAGTTGCTATACATTATGTATCTGACTGTGCACGAATGAATTACACCCCCCGGTATCGCCCACTATGCCATGATGCAGGAATCGCAATATTTGCCAGCAAACACAGATTTTTCTTCAGTGTGAGTTCCTCACTGCTGCTTTTGTTGAGTAATACAAATCGCTTCACTCCAGTATATTACAGAAAAACATTGTTTTCAGCCCTGTGTTTATTTCAAATAGCAAATATAACCTGACCTAAATTTTAGAAGATATATAAAAGTCCACGACAGATTAAAATAAAAAAATTTTTACAGACAACACTGCAGTGTCTGACTGTATGTGAAACAGCATTTAAAAGAAAAAAAAAGATCTTTATTCAAAACGCTAACTCAGAAGCAACTAACTTTTAAAAGTGGGCCAGCCAAAACAAAACAACAAAAAGTCATGCCAGCTTCCAACATGAACCACTGTACCACCCTGAGCATACATTTGACTTCAGAAGCCAAGAAGAATGGGTCCAACTTGGACCCATTCTTCTTGGCTTCTGGCATACTGCCAGAGAGGGTGTGCACACTAGCATATAGATATCATGTATGGGATTGCTGATGGCATGGTTTGGATCCGGGGTGAGAGACCATGTCTGCATGTGTTTTTACTTAGATCTAGCATTCCTCCCCTTGAAGAACTGCCGTGCTCTTTTCTGACCCAGTGGTAGGGCATGCATTCTTTTTGGCATGCTTGTTGTTTATCCTGTTTAGTGGGGGGCAGCAGCCTCCAGCAGCCTCAGTTTCCAACTGCCATCCTGGCTAAAGATTCTGAGGGAGAGTAAGAGAGACAGTAGGGGGAGAACAAGGGAAGAGAAGCAAGGAGGGGCAAGGGGACAAAATGGAATGGCGCCAATAGAGGGAGAGAGGAGCAATGTAAAAGAAAATAATTTCACTTCCCCTGACCTTATGGGGAAGCATTTAATTGACAGCTACTCAGACTTCAAGGGGTCATTTGCTCTTTGGGTGGGAGGAGCACACCAAATGACACATCACTTCTCCATCCAACCTCAACAAACCCTTTGTAGTCTGATCCACCCCACACCAAAAATAGCCAGTCTGGACAAGTCCAGAGAATACTAGGGATCTTCGGGTAGGGCTAAGAATCCTGCCAGAAACCTTGGAAAGGTTGGCAGTACTGAGTAAGGAATCTGTCAATCTGAGTTGGCAGTACAGTGGTGCCTCCACTTACGAATGTCCCTACTTACGACCAATTCAATTTACGACCAGCTCCGACCACACACAAAAATTGCTTTTCCTTGCGACCGGAGCTTCCACTTAGAAACAGAAAAAGGGAGAAGAAAAAGGCAGGAAATTCAAATTGCTAACTGTAGGTGGTGAAAGAGGCTGCTTCTTTGTAACTCTTTTGCCCGGGCAGTTAGAGCGTGCAATCCGAGGAGGCCGCCTGCTAAGGTATGGCTCTGCTTTATGCTTTTTAAAAACTGTTCTTGGTATTTTTGCAGGTTTTCGGCTGGGGGGGTTATGTTTCTGTGCTGTGATGGGTCTTGGGAGAGTTGTTTGTTTTTTGGTTCCCCCCATTTCCGAGGGGGTTGGTTGCTTTTTGCAGTGTTTTTTCCCATTTCTGATGGATCTTGGGGGGTTTGTTTGTTTTTTGGTTCCGCCCCCCCATTTACCATGGGTCTTGGGGATGTTGGTTGCTTTGGGGGTGTTACCCCATTTCAATGTGTCTTGCATGCTTCCATTGCTTTTGCTTTGTTCTCTTTGCATTTCTGATCTGCTCCCTTTGATTTCTGTGCATTTCCGGCCTGGTCCCTTTGTTCTCCCTGCATTTCCAATCTGCTCCATTTGTTTTCTGTGCTTTTGCAATGGGTCCTGCATGCTTCCCTTGCTTTTTCCTTTGCTTTCTGTGCATTTCCAACCTTGTCCCTTTGTTCTCTGTGCATTTCCAATCTGCTCTGTTTGTTTTCTGTCCTTTTGCAATGAGTCCTGCATGTTTCCCTTGCTTTTCTTCCCCTCCCCCTTGGATGTTGAAGTCACCCAGGACCAGAAGTCTCGGGGACTCCAACAGTGCCGCGGAGACGAAGTCCACCAGCTCCGGTAGGGAGGTGGCTGGGTCACGGAGAGCGTGGTAACCCAGCAAGATCCCAATACCATCCCTGGCCCCAATCCGCACATGAAGGGCCTCCAGGCCTGGCTTCACAACCGAGGAGAGCCTTGTAAACTCTAATGATTTTCTATAAACAATGGCAATTCCCGCCCCTCCAATCTGCCCTGGTGCTGCACGGCTTGACCCAGAGGGCAGGAAAGGGTCAAAGAGACCCCTCCTTCCCTGCCCATCCAGGTCTCTGTTAAACACGCCAGGTCTGCATCCTCATCCAGAATAAGGTCTTGTATAAGCTGGGATTTATTGGATACAGACCTGGCATTCAACAGCACCAACTTCAGAGGGGAGGGCCAGCTGGACTGCCTACCTCAATTTTGGCAGTTGATCACAGTGTCAGAACAGTGAACAGCCTTCAAACATCTGTTCACTGTTCTTCTGACACGAATAGGCACTGTGCCAGTGCCATACCTCCCTCTAACCATTATCACACCGATATTGGACCCCTCGCTGGGGAAACAGGCCCTCCTATCCATGTGAAAAAAGGAGGAAAAGAAAAAGAGAAAGAGGGAGGGAGGGAAAAGAAAAAATAAATAAATTAAACACAATTCTCTCATAGTGGTGAGAGAATTAAACAAATTATGATTACCAGTGACCATTAACATAAGATTAACATAAAAATAAAATAATTTAAAATTAATCAACTCTACAGCTAAATAATCAATAAAATAACAAAACAAGAACAAGAATTAAAGATATATATATACACACACACATGCATATATATATACACATATATATGCACATGTGATATAACAGACCCCAAATCCCCCCCAGTTGGTTCTATCCCTCTGCTCTTTGCTTGTAGGTCTTATTTTCCTCCATTAGTTTTTTTGTGAGTTCAAGTTTTTACAGGAGGCAGACGAGGGCAATACAAGGTTCCAAATTGTAAATAACAATGGAAAGAGCAAAGCAACCAGACGGTAAGGCATTGTTAATGCCATGTTCCACAACCGTGGGGAAAAAGAGGAGTCCAGGTCAACCATGCCAGGGGAAATACAAAAAGGATTCCCCAGGTCTTTGGCCATGCCTCCCAATCCTAAGGAACCCTAAGAGCAGTCTACAGCAATCTACAGTGGTGCCTTGCTTAGCGATCGCTCCGTTGAGCGACGAAATTGCTTAGCGATGTACTTTTTGCCATCGCAAAAGCGATCTCTTAGCGATGGTCCCTATGGGGAAAGTTCGCTTTTCGATGATCATGGGGAAGCGATCATCACAAAGCCCCCATTTTTGGCCAGCTGATCGGCAGTTTCAAAATGGCTGCCGGAAAAACAAAATGGTTCCCCGCTGTTTTGTTTCGCTTAAGAGGCAGTGAAAATAGCGGCACTATGGAGGATTTCCACTGAAGGGTAAGTTTTTAAGCCCATAGGAACGTGTTTTAATGCGTTTCTATGGGTTTTTTAAAATCGCTTAGCGACATTTTTCCGGAACGGATTAACATTGCTAAGCGAGGCACCACTGTATTTAAGTATGCATATAGGTTACTGAAATAGCCAAGATAGCCTAAAGTGAGACTCCTTGCTGGCAAGTTAAAGGCTGAACAAGCAACATCGGAGACTAAAGTGGGAACTCTTTAATTACCAGCAATGTGCTGCTGTCAATAATGCCATCCAGGAGTGGGGAGGGATTGCTGCTAGCTAAAGAGTTCCTGCTTTGATTCCAGGAGTTGCCTGACAAACCTGCAATGAGACTGATTGCAGGTGATTTGAGGGAAACCTGAGATTACAGCAGAAACTCTTTTCTTTAGCCAATATTCTGTTGTGAACTTGTACACATACAACTAATTTCATGACTTGTAATAAAAGAGATACCATATTAAACAAAACAAGAGCTTGCACAAAATGAGTTGTGCATGTAAAACTATGCAAGAAAATCGCTACTTTGTTAAAACATATTTATTTTTAAAAACCTATCTTGAAAGTAAATCTTTTAAAAATAACTTTAGTAATTTTTTTCACCTGACAAGGTAATTGATTGTTAATTCACAGAGAAGAAATTTTACTTGTTGTTCTTGTTCAGTTCTGAGAAAGAAGAGGTGTAGGAGATAGGTAATAGATGTGTCTAATAACTACAATGGTTACAATCATTATATTGAACACATTCTACAAATAGTGATGTCTGGTTCACACAAGCATTACAAATGTGGAAAAGGGGAATAAGCCGTATGGTCCTTACACACTACCAATATGCAAGAGGAGGTGACACCTTTATTAGACCACCAACAAATCACAAATGCTAGCTTTCGTACAAGTCAGGCCAGAGACCATTGTTTTGTGAGTGGTGCAGAAAAAACACATAGGAGAGTTACCATATTTGCCGAAGTACAAGACGACTTTTTGGCCCTGAAAAACATGCCTCCAAGTGGGGGGGTCATCTTATACGCCGGGTGCACTTCCAGCAAACCCTCCCTCTCTCCCAGCGAAGTCACTTACCTGGTAGTAAGATCGAGTAGACCTAGCCCACCCCTCCTTGGTAGCCTGGGAACAGCCTGACTCTAGTGCCAAACAGCTGTCGGGAACCAGCAGAGAGGCGGCAGCCATTTTGAGATGACCACATGACTGCTGCCTCTCAAAATGGCTGCCGCCTCTTCAAAAGGGCTGCGGCCTCTCTGCTGGTTCCCGACAGTCAGCTGTTCACCGCCGATGCTGTCCTTCTTCCAGCGAACCCTCACTCTCTCCCAGTGAAAGGAACCAAAAGCGGCAAAATGAACTCTCCCCATGATGCAGCCAAAGCAGAATCACGCATGCGGAAGAGGGGGTAATCTTATACAGCAAGTATATAACAAACTCTACATTATGAGTGGAAATGTTGGGGGGTTGTCTTATACGCCCAGTCGCCTTATACTACGCCGGCAAATACGGTATATGGTGAGACATCGTCCATCAGATAACCTGGAACCAAGCCACATAAGGCTTTATCGGCCATAATCAGCACCTATATGACTTATAAAGGAACTTCCATTTCCTTAGGTTCTGAAACGGGCTGGTAGCCAGTGAAGCTGCTGTAACAGGGGAATGGCATGTTCCCTGTAACCAGCCCTGGTCAACAGACTGGCTGCAGCATTTTCTACCAGCATGAAATTTCTGGTCTTCAAAAGCCGCCTCACACAAAGGCAATCTGAACAGGATGTATCTAAAGCATTTACCACTCTAGCTAAATCAGTTGTCTCAAGGAATGAACACAGCTGGCATTCCAGTCTTTACTGTGCAAAAGCATTTTGAGCCACTACCAAGACTGCGGCTGGTGAGTCTTTGACCATTGTATGCACTCTTCTGTATATGGAAGTTCCTGCAAACAAAGGATTTTCTACTGAACTCACTTCAGTTCAATACATAAGCAGAGTATATTTTGCTCCCAAAAGTCAATGAAAAAGATCTGATATAGCAGAGAGGTCTCAGACGTTCTGTGAAAGGAACTTGAAAAAAGAATAATAGAACCACAGAATTGTAGAGCTGAAAGGCACCCCAAAGTCATCTGAGTCCAACCTCCTGCAAAGCAAACATCCCTCATCAAAAGCTTGGAAGCAGATTACAGTGAACATAGCTCTGCATGCAGCTGTGCTCATCCTGGTCCACTTCCATAGTTTTGCCATCTCCTCCTCCTCCTCCTCCCCCCTCAGGAGTCCCGATTAATTCTCCTTTTGAAAAGGGAAAGGCAAAAGCATTTTGAGGAGCTTGAGCTACTTACATTTTTCTAATGCTAGAGATTTGACTAAGGCTACAAGTAACAACATGCCATTTTGGGGAGGGGAAGGGGGAGAGACTTTTCCTGCTCATTGAAAGTGTCTGATTTTCAGTGATCATGATCAGTGATCTCATCCACCCTCTGCAAATTCAGAAGCTGCTGAGGAAAGAAGATGGTAGCAAGATCATCTTCAAACCATTCCCTTCCACTTGTAGTTTCTTTAGGTCCCATCTTACAGAAATGTAGTAGCAAACGTCAAGCCTTAACATCTTCTCATTAACTGCCCCCTCTGCACACATATATCCATATGCTAGTGGCAAAGCAATTATATTCAAATATTAAATGCAAGACACAACCAGGTATTTGATACTCTCCACTAGGGAGCAAATAATGGCCCAATAATGGCTAAATACTAGCATTATTTATAACATTACAAAATCTTGAAATCCTGCTGGAATTAAAATGGACAGAAATGAAAAGGATACCAAAATGAGTTTAAAGTGGAGCATAATTAAGAAAATTGTGTATTCCTAGAAAATAAAGACCTAGGTTTATGTTAACTGCCTACCTTGCAATGTCCCACTATAGCCCAATAATAATCAGAACTGCCACATTCCAGGTGTGTTGAACTACAGCTGACAAAAACTGCCCTCTAGCACATCTGGAAGGCAGCAGCTGGGAGAAAGTGGACATATATTCTTTTTAGGTTTTCCTTGTAATGATGGCACACATGCTTATAGCAGTATTTAGAGATTATCTTCTACGACTTTTATTAAAATGATGATTATTGTAAAATACTGAAACCTTGCTCCTACTGCTTTCTTTTATATTTGTTACTTTAATGATGATAGAAAAATCTCAAGGGCTTAATTAAAAGGTGTAACAACTTAGAAGATATATTAATATGGCCTAATATGTGGATTTCAGCTTATCTGAGATGTGATTAATAGGGGGACACATTCCACAGTTAATATATTTCTTCTAAATCAAGCTGTCAGTCATATTAACTAATACTCTGTCATAGATTGGATTTCTTTAAAAAAAGAGAAAACCTTAATTTGAAAGATAATTATTTTGCTTGATTAATATGCTTTAAATTAAATTCCTGCATGCAATGAGGCCATCACTTTGGCAAGTTTTGAATTAATACATACTTCATGTTGTAATGCACACTAATGTTTATGGCTTATATGGCCTTCTTTACAAAGAATTACCTTCACAGTATGCATTGTCCTCGCGAAGGGCTCGGAAGCCATCTCGGCAGCTACAGACAGCCCGGTCTTCAAGGTTCCTACAGAAGGAATTCTCCAAGCACTGGTGTCCTTCAGAACAAAAGTTGTGGCCTAAAAATAAGTAAGATAGGTCATTTTAAAAGAGAGCTCAGGGACAAAAGTTTCCTGTTGCTGTTGTCACTGTTGCTGTGTGCCCTCCAGCTGCCTCTGACTTATGGGGACCCTATGATTAAGTGGTCTCCAAAATGTCATGTCCTCAATAACCCTACTCAGTTCTTGTAAACTCAATCCTGTAATTCCTTTAGGGAGTCATGTCATCTCATGGCCTTCCTCTTTTCCTGCAGCTTCTCACCTTCCCCAGCATTGTTGCCTTTTTCAGAGAATCCTGCCTCACTTTCATAATTTCTGCCTCAAGAAATAGTTCAGGCTTCATTTGATCTACTACCCTTTCTATTACCTGTTCTTGAAAACAGATCTCATTGCTCTAGTACTTCGTATGCAATTAACAGCCTGGCAGTCTTTCATAGTAGTGTACAGTTAATTACTGGGTAACCCCATAGCTATTGTAAGGATTCTTATGCCAATCAGATTTTGAAAGCTATTGACCAAACTTACTAATAACAGAATGGTCCTTTTCTGCATCTCATTTTGCTCCAACTCCATCCCTATAACCATGACTCCTGCCCATATATGCCTGAAGCTGTCCTACTATTTTACCCCATTAATTATTTACAGCACTCGGTGATATACATATAAAACAATAAAATGACAGCATACAAACTAAAGGAAACAACCACTCCTAACAAAAGACACCAACATTACAAACTTGATGACTCTGCGAAACAGAACATGCATATAGAGGCAAATAACTTCAGTAGAAGTTGCCTTCAAATGTCTCTTGAAAAATACGTGTTTTCAGACACCTCTTAAAACTGGAGAGGATGGAGAGGATGGGAACAAGGCATAGCTCTACCAGGAGGCAATTCCAGAGGGATGGTGCAACCACAGAGAAAGCCCAATGTCTTGGTGAGGAGCTTCTGGCCTCCTTCGGCATGGCCACCTGGAGGAGCATAGCTTGGGAGGATCTAGTTGGTATAGGAGAATGACCTTGGGAAGAGATGCTTTGACTGGTCTGAGGAAAGGAACTTTATTCCATGAAACATCATGCTAAAATAAACTTGTTGGTTTTAATGGTGACACAAGGCTCCTTACTTTCATTTTTTGTTATGGTGAAACAGACTCATACAACTATCTCCTTGAAAAATGGGTCACACGGGACACAAGAAAGACAAGAATGGATGTACTGGAGAATGCAAAATACATTGCTTGAACTTTAATGTAAATTATTGCTATGTAAAGTTTCATTTTGATAATAACATTGCATGCTATGGAGAATGAAACAGTGACTTATTCCACAGCACTCACTCTATCTAGTTTATAGCTATCATCATTTACAAATATGCATAACACTGTAATCATCAGTTTCTGGAGGAGTGCATTTGTTAGTCTGTAGTCTGTTGCAGTAAAACCGTCTTGTGGCACTATGAAGTCTGGCAAGCTTTATTTGGCATAAGCATTTTGGGTTACAGTCTGAAAACACAATGAAGAGGACTGCATTCTTAACTTGACAGATCATTTGAATGTGCGGATGCAACAATCAGAACTAGACATGGGAGCTTCATATTCGATTCCCACCACAGGTGCCACAACGGTCCATTCCCATCCTCCAGAACCAGCAACATCATGCCAATCACAGATGTAGTCCCACTGGGATGCCCCTTTACCTTTCTCCACAAGCAACTGCTCTGGCAAGGAGGTGGGAAGATGAGTCTCCCTGCTCAGCTGCTGAGCGGTTGGCTGAAGGGAAAGGTGGGGCAGCACTGGTGGAACTATGTCCATGATTGGCACAATGTTGCTGCTGTCAGACGTGTGTGCTGCGAGAAGCCCAGTGAGTGGACCAGGCTGGTTCTGGGGGGTGGGGGTGGGAGTGGACAGCCATAGCACCTGTGCTGCCGAGCTTTATACTCGTATCCCCCAATATATGAATACAAAGCTCCCATGTCTAATCCCAGAGCCCCCCCTCGTGCTGCTTTCAGAAGCCTCCTGGGGATATTCAGCAGTGAAAATGCACCTCTGAAAGGCCCGCTTTCCGCGGGGAGGTGCGAGGGGGGCGCTGGGGGGTGGGCCTGCCCCTGCCACCCACCCCACCCCGGCAAAGCGGCGCTTTCAGAGGCTTCCCCAGTGCATTTCAACTGCCTATTTACCTGCTGGGCAAGCCTGGGCAAGCTTCTAAGAGCAGCGCGGATCAGCTGTAAGGCTGGGAGGGGGAGGGGCTGGAGCAGAGAAGATGGCTCCTGGTTCTTTTCTGGGACGATTGCTTCCCCCCCTCATCACAAATGCCCCATTTTCGCACAGTTGATCAGGGGGCCTTTGCAAAGATCGCTGGCCCTGCCGATCAGCTGTGCAAAAATGGGGCGTTTGCGATGATGGGGGGGGAAGCCATCATCACAAAGCGATTTTCCCCTATAAGGAACATCTCAATGCGATCGCTTATGTGATTGCAAAATCCACATCGCTATGCGGATTTGTCGTTAAACGGGGCACCTGTTAAGCGAGGCCCCACTGTATTACTGACTTGTTCCAAAGATCCCATGCCTCATATGTGATCAGTTTCACTACTAGAAAGCCATGGAGGCTAAAGAAGGAGAGGGGGGAGTCTTGAATTACCAAAAATGTCCTAATTGGTAAAGCCATAAGAGAAATATGCTGAAAGAATGAGTAGTGATGTGGGGAGTCAGGGCAACTCCCATCCAAATTAGGTGGATGCAGTTTTTGTTATTAGTGTGCCTCAGTCCATGGATAACTTAGGCCTGTGGAAAGGTAATGACATCACCAAAAGGGCACCATTTTCAGGAATTAAAAACAGTAGGAGGAAGTCTTTACTGAAAATCAACAACACTAGTAAGAAGATACTTTCAGCAATTAAAGATATCCTCTTTCTGTCCTGTGGCTTCCATGGGTTCTCCACAATGAAAGGGGCCACATGTGAATTGGAAAGGTTGCAGGATAAAAGTAGGAAATTTTAAATTACTGAAAATCACCTCCTGCTAATGAAATTGTTAGGTCGTGGCGCTGAGCGCCCGAAGAAGAGTCAGGACACAGCAGTTATTCTACACGATTTAATGGATAAAAGCACATGCACACGCTCACGTGTATATACACGTGTATATATGCATACCCCCCCGCCTCTCGTTGAAGGTTTCCGCCCCCACCTCAATTACCCACATCCAAGCTAATTGGAGGGAGGGAAGTTATCTGTGACAGCTGCTGTTACATCCACCAGGCTACTGCGAAAACCTGGAAGGACACAGCAAGGTGGAAGGTCACAGCAAGGTTGATCCCAAGACACAACACCCCCCCCCCCTTGGTCTAAATGGTCACAACTTACATAGTCCCTAAAATAACTGGGCGGCCTCCGCTCTCGCTGAGAGCGCCGCAATTCCCTGCGAGGCTCTATTTCCTCTGGGGTTTCCACCGTTGGAGGAGCTACTGCTGCCGGAGGTTGTGATGGGGATTGTGGCAAAGGTGCCACCGCAGTGGCTCCCATTTCAGCCGATCGCGACGTATTTGGCCCTACACTCCCGGCCGGCTCAACAAAATCCTCTAGCCCCTCCTCCTCTTCGAGGGGACTGGCCCCACCGGTCACTGTCTCTTCTGAGCTACTATGTCTTGGCCGCGCTATAGCATCTCCTGGCAAGCGACTACGCAGTTGCCCTATATGCCTCTTCAGGGTCCTGCCATCTTCCACAGCAACCTCATAAGATACCGGCCCTGTTACTCGAAGAACTGTTGCCACCAGCCAAACGGGATTACCCGAGTAATCCCTAGCCCATACTGGGTCCCCACAAAAAAACCCACGTGGTGCCTCATGCACCTCCGTTTGAAACTGCCGTTCTAAAACTCTATCCGGATGAAGACGGTCCAAGCAGGTCGTTAGGCAACGGCCCATCAAAAGCTCTGCAGGACTATACCCACTCCCCGGATTGGGCGTAATCCTATAAGATAAAAGGAAACAAGCAAGCTTCCTTTCCCATTCCATCGGGCCAATGC